CCATGTTATTTTAGAGCATATAGCACTGCCATGCTCCCACTTCTTTCACCCTTTGAGTGCTTTCAAGGGTTGTGCATTATTGCCTTGTTTGTGGCCTAGCTTGTATGCATGCATGCCTAGACCTTTGAGCTCCCATCTCAACATGTCTTGGTCTTTGTTTTGACCTATTTGAGCTCTATTTGTGGCTGGTTCATCCATTTGTGTCATGCATTGCATGCCTCTTGTGTAGTCCCATTCACTAGCTTTCATGTTTAAGTGCTCTTGCATGCCTTACTTGTGTTGTTTGAGTGGTTTGGCACCATTTCATACATGATTTCAGTGCATTTTGTGTTGTCACACTTCCATGTTTGTCACTCCTTGATCATGTTTAAGAGTTGTGTTGTTATGCTTAGTTGATGGGCCCTCACATGTGTTCTTGGCCCTTTTGTGCCTTAGTTTTGATGCATTTTGGCCACTGTTTTGGGCATGATTGAGGTCTATCCACATTCGGTTTAAGTCCATTGAGCATTGTTTTGCATGCCCCTTGTGAGGTAACCTTTACTAGCTTTGATGCCTTAGCCTCTAAGCTTGCCATACATGCATTGCTTGTATGATAGAATTTTGTGCATGCCCTTCTAGCATTGGTTGCATTGCCTTGTTATTTGTATGCTTATGTTGCATAGCATTATGCTTGTATGCCATTAGCATTGCTAGGTTGAGCATTGGTTGCATTACATTGTGTTTACATGCTTGTTGCATTGCCTCATGTTTGCATGCTTGTTTCATTGCATTGTTGTTTGCTTGCACGCATTGCATTGTGTTCGGCATGCTTGTGTTGCATTGTGTTTGGATAGGGTGTTAGTCCAAACACGAGAAACGAGCGACGTTTCATACTTGAAGTGATGAAACGTGCCTCATGTCTCGGTCGCCGACCCTCTTGATCATGCATGATAGAGGTTAAGGCTTTATGTGTTATTTGTGCATTCATTTACATTGAATTGTGCAATATTGGCTTCTCGGCCATCGTGCATTGCGATGCTCGGTTGGTGGCCCGAGAGTCAAGAACTACACTCCCTTGAACTTGAGAAATGATAGGGAGAGTGGTTGTGCACACATATCTTGCAAATACATTGCCATGCCCCTTCTTGTTCTCTGTTGCAGCAAACTGGAGAAGTGAAGCATTTTCTGGTCGACAGACCAGTAAAAGTGGCCGGCTGACCACTTTTTCTGGTCTGCAGCAAAGGTAAGTGGTCGGCAGGTGGTTGGCAACACTAAAAAGTGGTCAACAATGCTCCTGGAGGTTCCCATGATGGAGTAAAAGCTATTTGGAGCTTTGTGCAGAGTTCTGAGAACAATTGCAAACAGAGGCAAGTTGGGGCATCGCGATGGATTTTCGAACGAGGCGACCGAACATGCATGCGCTTCTCACTCCGAGGCCCCTTCTACTTTCTTTACTTAGTTGCTTTGCTTAAGCTAGCTAATGTATTGGTTTTTTGTACTTAAGTAGTTAATACGCTTAATTATTCATTAGTGTTTGTAATAACTAGTTAGTTAACTTGTTAGTTAATTAGTTCTGTTTTGTAATAATTAGCTTAGATTAGCTAGTTAGCTTATTATTCGAACCCTTCATCGAGAGGGCACAACTGTTGTAATAAGCATGCGTGTGTGTGATGCATGTCTTCCAAACCCCTTTCTTTCTCCCTTTTACTTATCCGCTTTCAGTGGTTAGTTTTAGGGCATGTTTCAATTAGCATACTTATGCTAGCATGTTTGCATTCATTCATCTATTTTGCATGCACCGGGCTCGGCGCATCATACAAACTACATTGTATTTCAATACCAATTTGAATACATGTTATCAAGTCGCTTTCACATGACATCTTAGATTAGCCGAGCCTATCTTAGTTGCATTTTTGCATGTGTTGCATTAGGCATTCTTAACATAGCTAGGATCATGCATTGATTACTAACTAGCTTCCTTTTTTGGTTCGGAGTACTAGGTATGCTTTGATGCTTTAGCATCCTTGCATGTGTGTAAGTAAATGCCATGATAGCATGCTTGCCATTAGGCTATTTTCTTAACTGATATAACTGCATGAATGCCTGTGGATGAAGGTTGGATTGCTTGAATTGGAATAATTCATCAAAATGCGAGCTTTTAAGCCCACTTGAAGTGGCAAAATCATGTTCTCCTAAGCCCACTAGAGAGTGGCAAATCCGCGTCTTAGCCTACTTGCGAGTAGCAACTCCAAACCATTTTCAAACAAAAAAACATGAGATGTTTTGTTCCAACTTGAGTGATTTAGTCTATACTTGTATGCTGTGCGCATCACATAGTAAACTAGGCTAATAAATCGGAATAAGAGAACATGTGTTTTCAAAAACAACATATCATGTTAGTAAAGGCTGATCCTTTGATCGGGCGAGCGGGGGTGCTCATTGCATGACCTTCCCCTCTCGTACCCAAGTTCCCGAGGCGAGGCCACTTTGGTGATGACAGACACGTGGCCTTAGGCACAAGTCAGGGTTTCCTAAATTTCCCAAAACAAAATATTTAGGTGGGGACTCTGAAATCTGGCAAAGCAGTCCATGTTTGGCGCTTTTTTATTCAAAATTGAATTTTCAAAACCAATTGTTGGATTTGGACTCTTTGGTGATTTATCAGTCTTACATTGCATTTTGTGAGATTAGATTCAGAACCGTGACATGAGTCCGAACTGTAGTTGCTAAGAACAACGATTCACGCCCTCGCGCACGGAGCGGAGTTCCAGGCGATCTACAGTTTCCTTCCTCACGACTTGAGGTAGGGACACGTTTATCTTAGTATTTCTTTGTTTGGAAGGGATTTCATTGTATGATTGTGATTTACGAGTTAATTGGAGAGTATTGTTGGATCAATGTCATGTTTTACATAAATAACCCATTTTACTTGACTCTTGCTTGAGATTTCTTTACTCCGTCTTTTCAAAACATGTATATAAATGTTATTACAAGCCATATCTATAATAGAGGAGAAAAACCCCCAAATTTGGTAAAAACCCTAGATTCTCCACTTGAGTTAAAAACACCACATTGAATGGGAAATTTCCTTGATTCATGAAATATTGTGAAATAAAATAGATGGAGGATGTGGATGTTGATATAGTAAAAGAATTGTGGCTTGAATGTTATTTGTTTTCTTTAAACCTTGTGTTGTATTTGATTCTTGAGTAATGTTGGATGGTTGTTGATGGAATAAAATATGAATGAATTGTTAATTGTGCATGAGTCCGGGTATGAGTCGGTTTTTCAAGTGTGGTGTTGTGTTGGTAGTCGCATGGGGGGCGGGAGTTTAAAAAGGTGCCCAAATGCCCTGTCCAGGCTTATCGCTGAACGAATGTGGGAAAAATATTTTTGGGTGTCCACACAGTCCTGCCATATGATAGACAGCACAAGTGGAAAAACGGATGGTTTTCTTTGGGGTGCCCACTTCTTGCTGTATAATAGCCGGCAAATGTGGGGGTTGGTTTTAAAAACAAAAGTAAAGGGTGTTTTGAATTGGACTCTTATAGGTGGACTCATGGTTTGCGTTCTATGGTTGTAAATGTTTAATTGTTGTGCTTGATGACATGAATAGTCACTGTTATTATCTGGTTGTCATGGCTCTATATGTTTGTTAAGGATTACATGTAAAGATAAATTTCCATGCAATGTTTGGTCGCAAGGATAATATAATCTTATTCAAGGAATTAAATACTTAGTTAAATGTGTTCCTACTGGGCATATAGCTCAACCCTATCTTATCTTTTTCAGGAAACGATAGAGTTCCATCTCCCTGAAGGGTTGGTTAAGCAATAGTTCCTCTTTGGAAAAGTTGATCCATGTGTATTTTGTTTGATTGAATTGAAATTTTTGTAACAAGACTATTAATTTGTTTTGTTGTAATTGTACGCCCTAGAGGCTTATATTTTGTAAGACCACTTAGTTCTTGTACTGGAATATGACTTCCATCTCCCTGAAGGGTTGGTTAAGCAATAGTTCCTCTTTGGAAAAGTTGATCCATGTGTATTTTGTTTGTTTGAATTGAAATTTTTGTAACAAGACTATTAATTTGTTTTGTTGTAATTGTACGCCCTAGAGGCTTATATTTTGTAAGACCACTTAGTTCGTTGTACTGGAATATGACTTCTGAACATTATGGGAATGTATATGGTGAATTGTAACCTCTTATCTCTTAGTTCAATGAGACGCTGGACTTTTTGGGTATAATGTTGTATTTGTTTGGGCATATTCTTGTGGGAAAATTTCAAGGCGTTACAAATGGCATCAGAGCAAAAGGTTAGAATACCTCGGGCTCGTAGGAAGTGATGTGTGCCACAATAGGGTCCCTAGGCTAGGACGGAATGCTTAGGATGTCTTGTGTGTTTTGTGTTTTCATGTGATTATGTGGATATGGGGTTAGAATCCTATGATATCGCTTTTGTCTGTTACATTCATCGAAATCCTTTTGGAAAGGCACTTGATCACTGTTCTTTCCACTTGGAGGTCCTTGATTGCCATGGAACTAGCTAATATCTTAGGATGACAACTCACGCGTGCTTTTATGTGATTGTATGTGTGATTGTTTGGATTATTCTGTGTGGAAGTTTATGTGTTTACTTGGCATACGAGTGTAAAGATTAAGAATGAAGCACATGAGTGCGGCAAGTAGGTCTTGAATTTAATATTGTCTCTACTTCTTATAGATGTCTGGACGTACTAGAGCTCGCGGTAGACCCCGTCGGGGAGGCACGAATATTCTAGCCCAACCCGAGATCTCTCTGCAAGAAGAAGGAGTGGGTTAAAATAATATACCCGTTCCACCTACCCAATAAGCTATGGGGACCTTGGCTAGGGAAATGACAGGGGCTCTACGAGAGTCCATGGAGATATTGAGAGCCGAGCAAGCGGCTAGAACAATTGAGGGAGAAACAAGAGCTTCTTTTTTGAAAAAGGAGTTCTTTTGATCCAATCCCGCCGAGTATAACGGCGAGCCTGATCCGATGAAAGCTGATGAGTGGTTGGAGCAATTGGTCAAGTCCTTTGAGATCTTGGACATTCGAGAAAATGAATTGCGGATGGCATTAGCGGCCTACCAGTTGAAGGAGGAGACCGGGCAATGGTGGAAATCCATAAAGAATAGGGTTGAACGTACTTGGGAAGCATTTGTGCAAGCTTTCCAAGATAAATTCCTCCCTCCCACGGCTAGGGAGCGGTTGAGGAAGCAGTTTGAGTTATTACAATTAGATACACCAATGGCGGAGTTTGAAGCCAAATTTGCTAGCCTCTCACGTTTTGCACCTGAATTAGTGGCAATGGAAGAACGAAGGTGCCTTGAATTTGAGAAAAGGTTAAGTTCGAAGATCCTGATGAAGGTGGTTGGCAATATGATACATGATTATGACTGTTTAGTTGAAGCGGAAGCTCATGTGGAGATTACTGTAGAGGCCGAAGAGGCAAGACAGAGATTGAAGAGAGTAGGACATTCGGATGCTAGGGGTGATACGAGTTCTTCAAAGAGGTTGAGGGGTTCGTCATCATCCTTTCAATTGCCTCCACCACAAGCCAAATCCTCTAGTTCTGTGATGAGTGGAAGTTCGGGAAGCATGACCCGAGTAGCTGGTGCCTATTATAGATGTGGCCAAACAAGTCACAAGGCTGCAGAGTGCGGACAGAAAAGTGGAGCACGGTCCCAACCTATGTGTTCGCAGGGTTAATCTCAAAATAGGAGCCAGCCCCAATCTTGTTACCAATGTGGTTAGCCGAGACATTTGAAGAAGTTCTGCCTGCAGAAAGTGGGGACTCTGAGTGTAGCAGGGTCTAGACAGTCAGGAGGTTTACAGATGGGTCAGGGACAGATGCAATCTTATCAGCCGACTCAGTCATGACAAGCATCCAGGACAGTTCAGGGAGCCACATCTGCTCAATCCGCACAATAATCTTATGTTCAAAGAGGTGATGTGGGGGGGAGAGGTCACAGGGAAGAGTGTACGCTGTCACCACTTCTGAACAAACGTCGGGGCCATCAATTGTGAGATGTACATTCCTCATTTTTAATACCTGGGCTAATGTGTTGATTGACACTGGAGCATCACATTCATTTATTGCCACATCTTTTGTATCATTGTTGGGGTTAGAGAGTAGGCAGTTGCAATCTTCACTTACAGTGGAGTCACCAATTGGGGGTAAGGTCATTTTGACCCAGGAATGTCAGGGGTGTGTAATTAAGGTGGCGGGCCGACAACTTCCGTTTAATTTTGTCTTGCTAGAAATGTCAGGTTTTGACGTTATCCTAAGCATGGATTGGTTGTTTACTTACCGGGCCACCATAGATTGTTATTGAGAGAGAGTTACGGTGTGCACGGCAAGCGGTGATCGTCTCACGTTTTTGGGAGACAAGTACGGTAGATCCTTACCCTCCTCATACTATCCACGTGGTAGGGGCCAGTTTAATTCTCTTTTAACTGCCTTTTTAGATGATGGAAGTGGTGTAGTCCGGGGCAAATTTCCAAAGGTAGTATGTGAATTCCTCGATGTCTTTCCTGATGATCTTACAGAGTTACCTCCTCATAGGGAAGTAGAGTTCACCATAGACTTGCTTCTGGGTACAGCACCTATCTCCTTGTCGCCATATAGATTTGCCCCAACTGAATTGGTGGTTTTGAAGGAATAGTTGCAAGAGTTACTTAGTAAGGGCTTTATACGCCCTAGCACCTCACCTTGGGGAGCCTTGGCGTTGTTTGCAAAGAAGAATGACAGATCCTTAAAATTGTGTATAGATTATAGTAAATCGAATCAAGCCACAGTCAAGAATAAATACCCCTTGCCCAGGATAGATGACCTCTTCGATCAACTTAAAGGCTCTCGTTGCTTCTTCAAGATAGATTTAAGGTCGAGTTATCACCAAATTCGAGTTAGAGAGGAGGACATTCCGAAAACTGCTTTTCATACCCGATATGGTCATTATGAGTTCTTGGTTATGCCCTTTGGGTTGACTAACGCTCCAACCACATTGTAGACGCGCTCTCGAGAACTCTCTGATATCCGCGCTCGCGAGGGGGGCGCGAATCTCGTTTTGTTCCGAGCTACTTGCTACAGTTCGGACTCAATGTCACGGTTCTGAATCTAATCTCGCAAAGTGCAATGCAAGATCAATAAATCACCAAAGAGTCCAAATCCGGCAAATCGTTTTAGAAAACTGATTTGCAAAGAAGTGCCAAACATGGACTGTTTTTCCAGATACAGAGTCGCCACCTAAATATTTTATTTTGGGAGAATTTAGGAAACCCTGACTAGTGCCTAAGGTCACGTGTCTGTCATCACCAAAGTTGCCTCGGCTCGGGAACTTGGGTACGAGAGGGGAAGGTCATGCAATGAGCACCCCCACTCGCCCGATCAAAGATCGGCCTGTACTAAGCATGATATCTTGTTTTTGAAAACACATGTGCTCTTATTCCGATTAATTAGCTAATCTTACTACGTGATGCGTACAACATACAAGTATAGACTAGATCGCCTAATTTGGAACAAAACATTGCATACCCGTTTATTTGGAAATAGTTTGAAGTTTGCTACTCATAAGTAGGCTAAATTCGGGATTCGACGAATTGTTCCAATTCAAGTAATCCAACCTTCACCCACAGGCATTCAGGCAGTTATACACTTAAGCAGTTAGCCTCATGGCAAGCATGCTATACATGGCAATCAATAACACACATGCAGTATGCTAAAACGTAAACACTCACAGTGTACTCCGAGCCAAAACAGAGAACTAGTTAGAAATCAATGCATGATCCTAGTTCATGTTAAAATGGCTAATGCAACACATGCGAAAATGCATCTAAATAGGCTCGGCTATTCTGAGATGTCATGTGAAAAGCTGCACTCGATACATGTATTCAGATTGGAATTGGAATACAATGTAGTTAGTATGATGTGCTGAGCCCGGTGCATGCAATACAGATGAATGGATGCACGCATGCAAAGCATAAGGTATGCTAATTGAAAATGTCCTAAAACTAACCATCGAAAGCGATTAAGTAAAAGGGAGAAAGAAATTGAGGTTGGAAGACATGTATCTCACACACGCACCCTTATTACAAAATTCGCCCCCTCGACGGAGGGTCCGAATAAATAATACAAACCAATTAATTAACTAACTAACAAGCTAATTAATTATTACAAAATCGAATGAATAACTAGTTACAACTAATTATTACAAAACTTAATTAATTAACAAATTAACTAATTAAATTACAATTCCAAATGCTAACTAACAAGTAAGCAATAAAAAATGTTGCCTCAGCTCTGCTTGGAAAGTTTGAACAATGCATGTTCGATTCCCGTCCCGAAAGCTCTCCAAATGCTCTTTAGAGGCTCTGTCTGCAGGGTGTCCTTGAGAACTTGCTGCTGGATCTTACCAAAAACATGTTGGGGAGTACACCAGTGGCCTACCGGCCATGAGAAGCTACTGCCGACCATCCTGCCGGCCAAGGATGCATTCTGCCAGCCAAGGATGAAAGGTTGCCGGCCAACAATGAGAGGGTGCCTGCCACTGGTGTGCTGTGACACCAAGCTGCAACAGAGCACAGAATAGAGGAAAGGGAGGGTCTCCCAAGGGTATGTATGCACTATGCCACTCCATATCACCTCAAAACATCAAGGGGGAGGCATAATCGAATCCAAGACCATCAATCACGCATCTCGATGCATGATGGCCAAAGATCCAACATGTGCGAATTTCAATAAATGCATGACAAATAAGACACCAAGTCCATTTCCTTATCATGGGAAGTCAAAGGAAATGGAGACCAAGGGTGATTGGCTCACTTCATCACTTCAAGTATAAAGTAGACCAATCAACCTTGTGTTCAACATAACGTCCGGTTGAACACAATGCAATGCAAACAACATATGTAATGCAACATAAGCATGCCAAATGCAATGTAACAAGCTTGCAAAATGCAATGAAAGCTAATCATGCAAACATGCAAAATGCAATGCAACCATAATAAGCATGCTACAACATGCAACGTGACAAGCATGCAACAACATGCAAAGATGGATAAGCACGCAACAACATGCAAAGATGGACTTAAACCAAAATGGGTAGGCCTCAGCCATACCCAAATTAGTGGCCATAATGTTGAAATTAAGGCACAAAAGGCAAGGTATGCAAGCACAATGCATTAGCCATTCAACTAGGCCCAAGAGCACAACCCTCAAGAAGGCTCGAAGAGTGACAAATGTGCAAGTGTGACAACACTAAGTGCACTGAAATTAGACAAGAAATGATGCCAAGTCACTTAAACAATGCAAGTAAAGCATGCTAGGGTCCTAAATCATGAAAGCTAATAAAGAGGACTACAAAGGAGGGATGCAATACATGGCGCAAATGCATGAACTAAGCATGGACAGAGCTCGAGTAGGTCTTAACAAAGATCAACATATGCTAAGATGAGGGCTCGAATACCTAGGCAAGATAGCATACATGCTAGGCCATAAACTAGGCAACAATGCACAACACTCAAAGACACTTAACGAGTGAATGAAGTGGGAACATGGCAATGCTAAAAGCTCTGAAATGTCATGTTAAATGATGCCAAATCATGTACACAACACAAAAGAAGCATGCGATGGTGCTCAAAGCTTGAAGCAAGCAAGAGCACTTGTACTACAAGTATGCAAAACATGAAGCATGTGATCAAGGCAACCCAAAATAGTCCTAGAACATGTTAAAATAAGTCTAAAACATGCATGGAAGGAAGCCAAAATAAGCTAACATGAAGGGCATAAGGCATGATGCATACAAGGCAAATGAGGTGGATTACACTACACCTATTAAGACCAAGCATGGGATGACTTAACCAGAAAAAATCTGAGTTATATCATGGCAAGATAACCCTAAAAAACACATTGAAATGATAGCTCGCAAGCTTAGGCATGAAGGCATACGCAATGGTTCATGTTAAGGCATAAATGGGCAAACCCTCTAACGCATTGAATAAGTGAAAAATGCAGGTGCATGAGCATGAAACATGGACTAAAATCACATAATAAATAATGCTAAATCATTCAAATAGTCCAAGTAAAGCATGCTAATGGACTTCGTGCACAAAGCTAACAAGCTAGATTGAACCATGGCTATACAAAGCAAGTCATGCATGGTCAAAACAACCAAAATTAGAGCTAAAGCATGTTACAACATGGACAAAAGCTTCTTAAAGTTAAGCCAAAAGCATGCTAGAATGACATGTTAAAGCATGATGCATGTTAGGCTAATTCATGGAAATGCACAACAAATGCATGGAGCATGCAAGGGCCAACCAAACCCACCCAAAACATAGTCATGGCATGCTAAAACAACACCAAAAACCTACTGAAATGGAGTCAACATAAGCTAGGAAGACATGCTACTTCATGAAGCATACAAAGCTAGTTTATGAGATTTACACTACAAGTGTATTGAGCATGCATGGTGTAACAAAACCAAGCAAAAATAGTGGCATGTCATAGAAAGATAACCACAAATACAACCTAAGATATGGCCAACATAAGCTTAACAAACATGCTCACACATAAGGCATTCAAAGCAAGTAAACACAACACAAGGAGAGGGGATGACCCTCTCCTATTTAAGACTCCAAAACCACCTTTCCACCATTGAAAATCCTCTAGATTTCAGTGGTAGAAAGGTCATGCAAAGGTTGCAACAAGA